CTTGGTTACCTCTGTTGAAGGAGCTTTGCACTTGGTAACCATCCATTGCCAATCTTCCACTTCTCAAGCATTGTCCTCCAAATTGACCTACCCTTCTCATTACCTAAAATTACTTTTAAACAACTTAAGAGCAAAATTAGTAAGAAGAATAGGTGATAAAACACATACACACATAAAACACAAAAATAACAGAAAATAACATTCACATTATAACTAATATTATGTCTAAACTAATAAAGTTACTCTTCACACCGATATTGCCAAATCTTCCCCGGCAACGGCGCCAAAAACTTGACGGGTATTTTACATACGTGCAAGCTAAAAAATACCGAATTACACCCGTTCACTGCAAGTATACAGATCAACTAGTAGTTTAGGGTATATATCGGGTCGATCCCACAGGGAAGAGTGAACAATTACCGGTATTACTAAAGTTTCTCTATTATTTAGACTATCAATGAATTATAACAAATTAAAACCTACTAAAATTATTCAAGAAAATAGCAAATGAAAGCTCCTTAGGTTGTGGTATCCCTAACTACTCATGCAAGTGCTATATTTGGATCATTGAATACTACATCTAGGTTAGTTATGGTGTAATTTCCTTAAACATGTGAAACCTACTTTCGTAGTGAATCAACTATACTCATAACTAATCCATACCTATTTTCATGGTTATGAAATTAGCTACAAGTTCATTTCTTCAATGAAATTACATGAAATGAATCACTAAAAACCACATAAGTGCACCTCTACTTTCGTGAGTGTACTTCCTATGTTTAGCACTTCTTGAACTAGTGTTAAATCTCAATTTCCATTGCAGAAACAACACCTTAGATAATCACAATTAATGGTACCAGATTAATCATGATTTAAAGAGCCAAAGTGCTAAATAACTTGCTCAAATCGTAGCAGTCAAATAACCAAACAATTAACACTAACAATCATAGAAAGTTCAACCAAACCCAAGGTATAAACTTTAGAAACACATAATGAACACAAAATCCAGAACTTGTATATTAACTAAACTTGGAATCAAATACAAAAGATAAAGAGTTTGGAAGGAATACAACCCTTGTCACATGAGCTTTCTTCCTTGCCTTCTTCATCCTCCATCTTCATCCTAATCTAGATAATAAACAAGAATGGAAAAGCTACACTACTTTATACTAAGCTAAACTAACACTAGGGAGATGAAAGAGCTACATTTCTGCAGCTTCAAGTTTTCTCCCGTAGCTCACTCTTTATTTTTCTGCTATGAACTCCCTTCTCTGCTATCTACTGCAATCACTTCATTTTGCAATGAATTTGGCTCTTTTATGATGAAAGGTGGTCAAGAAATGAGGATTACATCTCCCTTTTACAGCTGGGAATGTTTCTCACATGTATAGCATCACATGTGAGTTGGTGGAGGTGAAATTGAGTTTTACGCGTACAAAGCAGCCTTTTCTGACCACAATCCGGCCAGGAATCCGGCCACAATTCCGGCCAAATTCCGGCCGGATTGCTACAGTGACCATTTGGTCACTTCTGGTTCAATTTCCAGCTCTGCTCCGATTTTGACTCAACTTCAACTGAACTTTTCTTGATGATAAAAGCTGATTTAGCTCTTGACCAAAACATAAAACTTGTAGCCCTTTGAGTTAGCTTTCCAATGCATCAAGAATCACCTCATTTGGATCTGTGTAGGCTGAGAAATGACCGAAATACCCTTACCTGCTCATTACCCTGTTCCAGTTTCGACCAGTAGAAATTTGCTATTGTAATTCGGCATTTTGACCTGGAAAACCTTCAAACTGGATTTAGATGTCTTCACCAAAGTTGTAGATCTATCTCTTATCTTCAAATTGGTTCAAGAATCATCTTAATCCGATCACTGTAGCTCAAGTTATAGCCGAAATACGAAAATATGTCAAAACTGTCAAAATACACAAAATCCAAGTAAAAAGTGATAAAAACCTCATTTAACCACTTAAAAACATTTTTCACCAATTATAGCCAAAATGAATCATTTTCTTCCAATAATATACCCAAAGTGACTAAAAATAATATAAAATATCATACAATTATTACGTAAATTAGTCACTTATCAGCAATATTTATCTTTGAAATTGGATAGGAATGGTGATGACAATAATGGCCCAAGAGCTGGTGACACTCGCTGGAGAAATGCATAATATATTGGTTAATGCTTGCTAAAGATATTCATTTTATCGCATAGGCCATTTTATATTTTCTAAAGTTTATCTCTTTCTTTTTTTTTTAACGAATATTGATATCAAAGAACTAAAATACTAAATAAAAAATTAAAGTTAAACCCAACAAAGAATAGTTAAAAATAGGATATTCAGTTTTGCTTACTCTAATTACTGGGGCAATATATGGTAATTACGAAATTAAGGAAAAGAGGGTGGGAAAAGGATGAGATTGATTGTTATTAAACAAATAAAACACGAAAAATAGAGCAAATAAATTGTGAAATATGCACACATGATAAAAAAGATAGGGCTTTTATTTGGCATAGTGTAAGAGTAGCTAAGTCAATTTACTATATAGAGAACTGAGTAGTGAATTATTATATGATACATATGATAAATGATATGACATGATAGATTCATTGAAATTTATGATAAATGTATTGAACTTTAGAAAAACTAAAAATTATTCAAATTTTAGTAATAGGAACTTATAATCAAACCAAATAATAAGGATAGAAAACTTGGTCGGAAAAAATAAAAAACTATGAGCTTATTGACAAAAAGGTTTACAAAGGCATAATTAATACGAACTTATACAAAGTATGAAATTAAAAGATTGATTGAAAGTTGCAATAGTAAAGGAAGTGAAAAAAAAAGGGAAAAGAGAATAAGTGGATGATAAAATAAAGATAGAATTGATTATTACCAACAAAAAATAGAATACTTAAAAGTTTTTTGAAAGTTGCTATAGTTAAGGAAGTGAAAAAAAAAAAAGAGAATAAGCAGATGAACAAATAAAAGGTAGTACTTACCCACAAATAAAAGATAGAATTAATCATTATAAAAATTAAAATACTTGAAATCTAATCAAATAAAAAATTAAACTTGGCCACATGTTGAAAAATTAATCAATCCATCGCGGATTGTTCTACAACATGCAACTACTTTAATGTATCTTTTGCTTTGTCAAATGTTTCTCATGCTTGATTTGAGACTTTTAGTGGTTCTATAACTGTTTTAGATTTTAGCAATGAAAATTATGATAATACATGTATTAGGAAATTCATGTGATTAAACTAAAAAATTGATAGAGATAGAACATCATTATTGTAGGTATAAAAATAAATATGAGAAATAGGTATGTTGAATGGAGAAAATACTGCCGTTCTAATAGGAATTAGAGGTTTTGAATTCAAATCTACCCGCTCTTCACTTCTTAACTCACACCCTTCCTAAATTGAATTTTTTTTTTTAAAAGAAAGTATCTTTGACCTACTATCATGTATACTTTTGACGGTGCTAATGAAATATATATATATATATATATAGGGCTTGTTCTCGGTTGATTATTTTAATTGATTATAGATCTTAAATTTAGATAATCAGTTTTTGTGACGTTCTCAATTGCTTTTGTATCTTTTTTTTTTTTTTGTCAAAGGTCAACTTCTATATATAATTACTTTTGTATTCGGATTATAGATTTTTTTAGTGACCAAGCTAAAATCTCTAATCACCAATTGAGTAGCTATTGTTGATTCTTTTTTTTAATATATAAAATGCAAATTTCATTAACAAATTGCTAAAAATCATTTAGCATAAATTGATCAGTATCACTACCCTAATGGTAGGTTAAACATACACTAGCCATTACATATCTGCAATTTAACAAATACAATAGATATGAAAAATTATGAACAGATCTAAAAATTATAAGAAATTTTAACATTATTTTCTAATAGATAAATTGTTGTAGCTCCCTTCTGTGCATGTTGCAATTGCCATATCTACTAATCAATGGTCTTAAAAATTTCAGATTTGACAACTAGATCTAAAATAATAACAAAAAGGAAAAAAAAAAACAAAAATCTCAATAGGAATCCTTAGGAGAATAAAAAAATCTCATCTGAAGTCTAAATCCATTAAGTTATAAAATTGTTAAGTATTAAATCTAATACATTTGAGTGCATATCACATTTAGTAACAAGTGAATAACTTATCACTTATTTTTTGGAGTAAGCTTTGTATAGAAAATTCGGTGTCACTTAATTAATTCAGATATTCAATTTTTCGTTATCAAACACGTCTAAATATGTTAAGATTTGAATCTATTAATTTTAAGTATTGAATTGGATTATTAAACAGAGATTAAGAAAACTTACGATAAACTTTATTGAAAAAATAAAATAAAATTAAACGAAGTTCATGAAGGGTATAAAGTAAAAAAAACAAAAGTGGCAAGGGTATTATAGTCTCTTACTAAAAAAGACGAGACAATGGCAGTGTAAATAATAAGAGAGGGTATCATTAACATTTTGCTTTGTATATACCGATTTAATTTATATTCATTTTTATTAAGAATATATCCTTTTTAATTGGTAATACTAAGGGTTACTATCAAGTCGAATTCAAATAGTGCACTATTCGAATAAAATATTTGAATTCGAGCTTATTCTCATCAAGATCTTCAAAGTTGAGCTTGAATTGGAGCTTATTTTACCTTATGTGATCTCGATCAAATCGATTTCAATCGAGTTTTCAAACTAAGTTTTTTGAGTAAATTTTATAATTTTTTAATAAATAATTAAAACATATACTCTTATAAATACACTGTTCGATAAAGGTTCAATAAGTACCCGAGTTTTGATTTTTTTTGCTCAGAAATGACTCAATTACCTTATCAGGTAGTTAGAAGTCGAATCGAGCCTCTCCCCAAGTTACTCGCGAACTTGAGGCGAGTGGTTCGCTGAGTGGCTTGGATTCCAGTTCGCGAGTAATTTGGTTAATTTACACCGCCAAGGATCAAACAGCCAATTACATGGGTTCGGCAAAATGGCAAACAAAATCATGAAGTACCAAATAGACATTGTATAGTGGTCCTATCGTCCTGCTGAACTCTCTGTCTTTCCAAATCCTTCAAATCCCTGTACAATGGCATTTCACATCCCAAAATCCATCCCTTCTTCACCAACTCCCTGCACATTTCCCCATCCTTCATTCTTGCCTCACAATCTTCATTACTCTCACTATTACTACCGCACCAGATTCACTCCCATTTCCCGCCGCAAGCTCCTCCGACCACAGCTGCATATTTCCAACAGTTCCAAAAGCGCGAACTCCATTTCCGACGAGGATAGTAAGAACAATAGGCAGGATAGTGTTGAATATGTGGAGGTGTTCGGAATCGGGAGTAGGAAGGATGCCATCCTCGATTTTTGCTTGAATTCTCCATTTCTTTCCCCAGCTCTGCGTTTCTGGTAATATATTTTTCTTCAACTGATTAATTCACTTTTTTCATTTATGCAAATGTATGAAGAAGGCGCTTTCATTGCAGCATGGTGTACAATATTTGATGCAGTAATTTTAATTAAGAGTTGTGTTGTTCTGTTGATGCAGGAATATTGTTGTGAAGGATTCCACAAAGGTTCAATTGCAACAAAGGCTTTCCAACCAAGGTCTGTTCTTTGAACTTAGTAGTCCACTTACTTTAATACATATGCATATAAATTACAGGGAATTTTTTGACTTTTTCGACTCATTGGAAATGATAGAATAACTCCTATTACTTTGTCTTTATTCAATTTTGTGGAAAGGGAGTGAGTGTAAATTCAATGGAAGATAAGGGTTGTTTTGTATGATTTACATCTTTAAGGAAGTTAAGGGAGTTATCTTATATTTGTTAATCTTAATTGGCAGTCTACTCAGGCTGATGATATATGATCTTTGGAGACAAATACACCCCTATCATTCATTCCTGCACTGGACTTTTTGATAATACCCTGTCTTTCATTCTGATTACAACATTGGATGGGAAAACAGGGTGAATGTAATGTTGTTGAAACATTGGGTAGTTTTACTATATAGTTATGATTATTTAATTCGTGGGGAAGCTGAATTTCTGAAAATGCAGTTGCAGTTAGGGAGCTGATATTGGTGCTCCAATTGGCCATGGCACTTCCCTGGGATTTTCTAATCATATTAAAAGACAGAAAAATTATAATATTGGATTGGTTGAACTTTGAAGTTGTTTTCTTGCATTATTGGAAAGAGTCAGGAAGAGTGCAATTAACACTTGGCAAGTGTGAATATTTAGTCCGTGGCAGCTAATTAGATTATTGGTTAACTTTATCTGCTAATATATATTTATAGTGAATTCGCTGTTCATGATGGCTTGATCCATTGGATTGGCTACATAAATTTACTCTAGACATCTAGCATTTTGTTTGACCTGCTAATGCAAAAGAAAGGTAACAGATAGTGAGTGATGAGACCTTATATTAGTGCTATATCAGCCTCTATAATCGCAGAAGAGCTGAATGACAATAACTTCTGCATGTGAGTTAATTTTCTTTATTCCAAATACTGTTGGAGCTATCCCTACTTGGTTGAATGTGATTCCTAGTTGGGTGTTATTGGCACCATATTTGGCTTTGTAATTTCCTCAGTCTGTAATTTTGTAGATGAACAATGCTATTCCATTGCCACTCAATTAGGTTATAGTTTATGATATGAAAAGTAAACTTATCTTTTATACCAAAAGATTCCTAGAAATGAAATAAGTGGATATTCAACCAAAATGTCATTTCACCTATCTGTTTACTGTCTAGTTTGTTCCACTTTTTTTCTTCAAACAGTTGCAAGTTGGCAGTTTTATTTTCAAATTGTGTTTTCATCAATATAGCTGCTTAAAGAACTATTTTCCAAGTGTTGGCCTATCTCCAAATCCAGCTACCTGCATCACTCCATAAATAGTCTTCAATAAATATTATTACTGGTGTACAGGAACTCTATACCTACTTTCTAAGACTGTTTAGGAAATGTTGATTTGTATGTCTGATTACTGTGGTACACTTCTCATTGTATGACTAATTGAAGTAGTGGATTGCCCAAGCAAAAAGGGGAGCATTAGTAGTATTGTCCTATTTGCTTGTTTGGAGCTTTAAAAATAGAAAGGCCCTTGGTCAGTTAAGAATCAAAGAGTACAGTTGCTGTTTGGTTCGTTGTACTTTGGGTCAATTCAAGAATTACTCCTTGCTGGTTTATTTCACCTATATGCAACGGATTGCAGCTTTTTTTTTTGTTTTTTTCTTTTTAATACGGGAAGTTTGTCCACGTCATATTGCAGTCTTCCTTTCAGAGTGAAAAAGTTCAAATATAAAGAATGGAAAATGCATCTGTTAGGTCTGGTGCTAGGAAATTGACCAACGAGAATAATAGGGTTCTTGACAACTCAATGGAGACAATAACAAAGCAAATAAAATTAACGGAAAAATATAAAATTTTACATGGTTTAGTCGAATTGACCTACGTCCATTGGCGAAGGAGTAGCAGATTTACTATAACAAAAGGAGAGTACAAAAGAGACAGTGCGAAACCTAGAAAAAAATTCAAAAGTTCAACGGCACCTAAAAGTGAAAACACAAAAGAGTCTAAATAACACAAAATGTTTAATGGTTCAAAGTCCGATGACTTGCCCTTTTGGTTTGATACCTAACCAAAACTCCTTTTAGATTGGGACATGGGCTGCCTAAAACTCTCTTGGGCTAGTGCCTATGGCACTTGGTTGGTAAACTCACTTAAATTTACTATATTTATAGCCACCAAGAGGAGAGACTTCTTTGTAAAATTTCTAATGTGAGATACAAAGATAAACTCAACTAATTTCACCTTGGTGTGTATTAGCAAACAAGGTCCACATTCTCCATAAAAATTTCAACGGATCCCAACAGACCACAAAAATTCCAACATATCTCAATAAGTCACCAACGAACCAAGATGCAAAAGGATAACGAATTCCAGTGGACCAAAACTCACAAAAGGTTCAACAGATCCCAACAAGCTAAAAATACGAACATAATAATCTTGCTCCATCTTCTCCTCAAGACCCTCAATGAGCTCGAATGGGTCAAACAGCTCTTCTTCACAAAAAATCCAACTAAACTTCAATGGCTCTTCCTCCACTTTCTGTAGTGCTAAACCGACATGGAATTGATATTAATAGTTTGTTATCGTCATCAAAAACTTAGAGCCTGAAACTTTGATATCGGTTTGTTAGGAATGGTCCCAGAAAATTAACCAATGAGAACAACATGGTTCTTGGCAACTCAATAACGACAATAACAAAGCAAATAAAATAAATAGAAAAGCACAAAATTTTATGGTCCAATTGACCTACGTCCACGGACGAAAAGGTAGCAGATTTACTATAACAAAAACAAAGTACAAAAGAGAGTACGATACCCAACGATACCCTAGGAAATAATTCCAAGGCTCAACGTCATCTAAAACTGAAAACACAAAAGAGTCTAGATAGCACAAAATGCTTGATGGCCCAAAGGCTGATAGCTTGCTCTTTTGGTTTGATGCCAAACTAAAACTCCTTTTAGACTGGGACATGGGTCTTTTAAAACTCTCTTGAGCTGGTGCTCTTAGTACACTTAAACTCACTTAAATCCACCATATTTATAACCTCCTCTGTCGACTATATTTATAACCACCAAGAGGAGAGACTTCTTTATAAAACTCCCGACGTGGGATACAAAGACAAACTCAACAGCATCACATGGAGGATGTGACTTCTAGCTCCCAAGATATTCGTTGGTGGTGTTTTTAGAATTGATTATAAGCTTTAGCCACAACTGACAACATAAGAATTGTATTCAAATCAAGACAGTTATTGCTAACTGAGGAAAATTTCCATCCCCAAATTAATGTCTTCACAAACTCAAAACTAGTATTGCACCATCACAAATTATATCTTAACTAAACAAAGGGCCTGGTCCCATTGCCTTAAAGGAAGCTGTTTCACGATTCTCCTCCTTTTTCCATTTCCATTTCTACCTGCACTTCATCTTTTTTTTTTTCTTTTCATGAAATTTGTGTTGTTGGTGTATTGATTTTTGCTTAGCTCATCTTTAGCAGAACAAAAATGGTCTTTTGTTTTTCAAAAGCTTAAGATAGCATTTTCATGTTATGAGTATCTACTATATTGGACAGAAGAAAATGGGCTTTAGATAACCAACTGCAAAGCTTTCTTGCAAGCCAACAACAAGGTAACAAATAAATAAACTTATCTGAAGGCTTACTGATTGGGCCACCATCTAGAATTAAGTGCCTTATTTGAGCAGTCTGACTTGTAACAATGGTAATTACGACCACTGTCCTATCACTTTTTGCTTATAGAATGGGAATCAAATCGAGTGCATGCAAACTCTGTTTTATAATGCTGCATTCATGCTACAGTAACCTGTTCACCACTGTCCATATCATGTTCTGGTTGCAACCCAGTTAGTCTCTTCTTAATTCACATCCTAGTAATATATGTGTGTGTGTGTGTGTGATGAAGATTAGAGTTAAAGGTTATATTAGCAGAAGCTGAACAGTTTTGTCCTGTATAATCATGTAATAGAGGGCACATACTAATAACACCAAAGTTCACCAAACTGGTAATGGGAAATGCTACACGAATCTAGATGTCTGGAACCCAGAATGGGATCATCATATGCATGTGGATTTCTCCTTAATGAAGGTTTCAATTCCTCTTCTACTTTTTTTCTCCTCCTTTAATTCCCTGACCAAAACATCCCCCCCCAAAGCTTCTCTCTCATGGGCATTCTTTTACACCTTTGCAGATATAAATCCATTAGTGGAGGCTCCAGCCCAATTGCGGCAATGTTCAAAAGCGGTTATACTTGTTTGTACATCCTTTATTCTCATGCTTTTGACTGTTTTGGTATTCACCTTTTATGTCAGTTTGCATATCTGGGCAAACACTTAATTAAATAGGCAAATGAATCCCAACAAAATGCTTGGCTAGATGAGCAATGGCAGTTTCCAATTGTTGTGACGAAATGTCATAATAGCTAAATAGTACAAAACCAATGAGATCTTTAATAGATGAGTCAGAATGGCAAAAAAGTAGAGCTAAATATTTGAATTAGTAAAGAAATAAGTCTGAAGAAGAAAAACAGAAGGTTAAAAATGAGATCATTATGTTGGAAAGGCGATAATTTTTTTCAGAAGTTGTGATGTCCAAATATAGGACAACTGCCTCCAAATCATGCTGTGCTTTACATTTTAGTGGTGCGAAGAAACTTTTCTTTCGAGTCTTCATTGTATTTGAGAATAACGGCAAACTTTACCACACTATGACTAACTTGATCGCCTTCTCTTCTGATAAAGGAGGCACAATCAGAAAAGGAGTTTTCCAGTCTAAAAATATCATCCAAAAGAACATCAAGTAGACAAATGTCTCTATACCTCTTCTGGATCCTGTTTATGATACTCTTGCAGCCAGATTGCAAAATGACATTCTTCCACCATTCTTCAGCTGCCTCATGCTATGCTATCCTCAAGGCCCAAGCTTCTGCAATCTCACCTTTCATTTTCTGATCTAAACGGACCTTGTATCCACTATCCTCCCTGTGAGTTCCTTGCAACTATCACCATGCCTATCTTGTTCTTTGTGGAACTAGTTACGGTGTCTGTGTTGATGTCGATATGTCCTGGAGATGGAGTTTGCCAAGTTTTTACTTCATTCCTTGTTGCCTCTGTAGTGTTCACCTGCTGATCTTCATTTTTCTGAGCTTCTGAAAGTTCCTTCAATTCTCCAATTGTTTTGTTGACCAGGATTGGTCCAGTTATTATCTTCAAACTTCATTTCTTGCCTTCCAAATCTTTGAGAGAAAATTTACTGTTAATTGAATATGCTCCATGGCATTAGTTCTTTCTCAGCTTGCTCAAGTTTTTTCAACCACCCAAAAAGCTCCATCTGTAATTTCCATAGGCCAATCCCATTAGATGAGAAAGATTTTCCAAGCCACATGTACATCATTCCTTCAAAAGAAGAGCATATGCTCAGCAGTCTCCACTTGTTCTCTACATCAATTACAAATTCTCTCATATTTACCAGTTCTCTTTCATTGCAGTATTTGGAAATATATTTTTTAAGCATTTCCACAGGAAGTGCTTGAATTCATGCTTCAAGTTCTGGCTACACACAAACTTCCACACGTTAGCTTCTTGTTGGTTGTCACTGCTCTCACCTTTCACATGATGTCTTATTGTCTGGTGATGCTGTTGTTGGTTTCCCAAGTAGTGTCTTCTTCCCAGAGTGTACTGGGCCAAGGGGCAGAAGTTCCAGTAAGGACTGTTCCTTCCTCTGAATATGCTTAGTGGTAACTGCTTAATCTATTACATTCCACCTCAGAGAATAGCTCTCCTAACAGTTTGGCATTCAAATTCCTTTTATTAATCGGATCCTTAACAAACACATGGGGACTGTTTGTGGTTGTTGGCAATCTTAATTTGCCTTCATTTTGTTTAGGTAACCACCTGTCTTCCCAAAGTTTAGTGCTGCAATTGTCTCCTACCTTTTTCCTTTAGTCCGTTCTCAAACAGACTGATTGAACTGCACTGACTTTGCCAATCTAAGAGGAGGCATTGGGGTTTGCCTTACTTCCAAAGAAGATGGAGTTGGGAGCTATCTTGCTTTTATGACCTTACTGACAAGCAAGTTAGGATTTGTAATAACTTTCCAAACTATTCTGTTATGAGAGTACTAAACTGTTGGATGCCCCTGAACCCAATGGTTCTGTGTGCAAGTAAGCATTCAAAGGACTGCTACAAGAATTAAAAGGTGACTGATTGGAAACTAAGGATTTTGGTGGTTAGTGACCTCTAGATTGGCATTAAAAAGGATAATGTTTTAAGATTTGAAAAAAGAACTGAAATATTATGACTCTTGAATGGAGATGTGCATACAGTATGAGACAGAAATGCAGTAAGAGATTGTAGCAAATGGTAATGTGAGAAGATTTGGAAATATTACTAGAAAAGGAGGCACTTGAGGATTGACTTTTGAAGAAAATCTGGTCTGTTGGCAGTTTTGCATTTTGGATTTAGTGTAGGTCTCTTTTCTGTTTTAAGTTTGTTTGATAATTAAGGGTAGTTTTGCTTTGTAAATCGGGTCTAACTAGTAGATTAAGATGATAATAAGGTGTTCTGTGCCCTTAAATTATCAGGGGTTGCCTGCAGTAGCTCATTGACAGCAATTATGCAAGGCAAGACTTTAATTGGTGATGTCATTCTGTCCTGTAAAAGTTGTAGCCTGTGCTGCATAGATTCAGGTGTAGGATATGGTTAAGTTGATTGTACAAGCATCAGTCTTTAACACGTAAAATTTTAGATTGAGGAATATGGATACAAAATTGCTCTAAAATGGATAATGCTACAAGAAGCAACTTAAAGATTTTCTGCAAGTTGATTTATACACCTTTTTCTTGAATCCTCATGTGTAGATCTAGTATCAATAAAAATTCCTTTTTACCGAATGTCCAATGCAGCAATAGTGCTGAATTTAGATTCCCTACAAAAATCTAAGTCCATTACATGAAAGATTGATGAGGAAAACTCAGAAAGTAAGAGTCCTTTTTGCCAGGGCTTTGGTAAGCAATTTTATTTTCTATTTTTGGCTGTAATTTGATTGAAGTTGATCTATTAATTGTTTTAATCAGAGTAAATTCAGAGCTATTTCCTGAATTTAATGATGTAAAAACTTCAGAGAGTTCTTTAGCATTTGGCTCTGCTGTAGTTTTTAAGCATCCCTGAGTAAGAGCTGGTCTAGTTTTGGGCAGTCTGACAAAGAAACATGTTGAACTTATGATGGAGGAATACTTGATGTAGTTTCTTGATCAGAAGCTGCTTGCAAAATGATCGCACGGATTTCCAGAATGCATTTGTTAAGAAGAAGTTTGCTGCTGCAGCCAGACTTTTGAAGTTTTATTGATTAACATAAATTAAAATAGTAGTCCATCTTGCGACGGAACAATATTTTTTCAGGCATCGTGTCATGTAAATTATTTTTCATTCACCCCTTAGCAACTGATATTTTCATTTTTCATCAATCTTGTTAAAGTTGACATTTGTGAAGAAGCATTATGACGAAAAAGAGAGTTTTATTCACATACTCTCGAGGATGCATTATGTTAGAGAAGTAGTTTTCATACATCTAGTCCTATCGTTCTTCATCTTCTCGATGTTAACCTTAGCAAAGAAGCATCCCACTTTTTCTTAAACATTATGACTATGTGCCTCAACTGCTTAAAACTGGCTCATTTGTGGCATTATTTTCATTTTAGTTGGTTGTTTCCTTGATCCTAGGTGGCTAGTGCTGCTTATGGCACTGAGGATACTGTTGCTCTTGAGATTCTTGGGACAACAAAGTCTGAGAATGGTTTAGTTGTTGGCATTATTTTGAGACCTTTCAGCTTTGAAGGACAGAGACGCCAAGCGGAGGTATAATTTTATTGGTATAATTACTAGTGATCCATATAATGGGATATTGAAGCTTTCAAAGTTTGTAAATAGAATGCTAACTAAGAATGGCTGAAGCAAAAGTTTGCTTTACTTTCTTTTCATTCTTTTGTTGGTCAGAGACACTGTAACATAATTTAGTTAAGACACTGTAACATATTATTTGTATCTAATTCAATTTTGCTCTTTCTGTTACCAGCTTCCATTCTATTGAATAGGGCATATTTTTTTATTTTCTAAAATGCATCTCAGGTGAATCATTTGGTGGGCAAACTTCAAGAGCATGCAAACTTTTACATTGGTAAGCTGTGACCTTTGTGTCATTCACTGACTGTTGGTGGCATTCTGGGTTTTAAACCATAAAAGTTGTATAGACTCTTTATTTATGCCTGTTGATCATAATGGTTGTCACCATTAAATATAACTAATTTCACATTACCCAAACTATATTGTTTGCTTTGCTGAAAAGTTTCTTTGAACACCTAAATATTGTCTTCTGGAGAAATTGTTTTGCTGTTGCTCTCTACTGACTATGTATCATATTGGCCATGGAACTGAAGGTTTTTGTTGAACGTTCTGATTTTATTGAAGGTTCTGATTTTGACTTGTCGTAAACTGAAATTTCCAGTTTTCTTTGCTGCTAATCACCTGCTAAATTTCTTGAGGGCTATTAGGTTGTTTGTCTTGACATGCAGTGATTGACACTGATGCACTTCTAGAAAAGGATTTGGTGACTTTGGATGAAGCTTTAAAGACTTCGAACGACGCGGTTTTAATGGCCATAAATGCCATAACCATTCTCATAGCTGTGAGAAAAACTACTGACTTCTCTTATCTTCAAAACTTCTGCACTGTGCAGGACTTTTGGTGGTTTCGTTATTTACTGATCAATTTGGTTCTACTTATTTTGCATCATTTGACAGGAAAAGAATCTAAAGCTTCAAGAGGTGGCACGTAATGATGCTAAAGAAGTTAAAGTTCAAGAACTTCAAAGGGTGAGTTACCTGAATATCTGCTTTGATCAGTGTAGTTCATTGCCCTTACCCTGCCTAGGCTAGTAAGCTGTGTGATTTATGTTTATGTTTCCTTTTCATACACATGCTACTTTGCCCTGGCAATCCCACTTTTTATCCTTGCTCTGCAAGCCAGATGCTTTCAAGACCTTAATGAGCAAAACAGAAGCTAGAATATAGTCTTATTTCATGGAGATTTTCATTTTGCACTTCTAATTCAAGTTTTAGTTGTCGCCCAAAAAGCTAATGAGACGTTTTGCAGATTTTTGAGGCCTGCCGTGAAGCGAAAATTGGATTTGGAAATGGTTTTAATATCAAGACTTCAGTTCTCAGGGCTGTTTTTGACTGCCCCTTCCTTGGTGTAGGCGTAAAGGTTAGAGCGGACTACATATTCTGCAATCTGAATTGCTTTTTTGTGCATTATTTAGCACTTTTCTGGAGTTCAGTGGCATAGCTGTTAGACATGGCTTAGACGTGTTCCTGGTGCAGGGGCTAAATAAATGAGATGACAAGTTAATCAGTGTATTAATTGGTGGAAGGATTAGTATTAAATTACACATTTCGTTTGATACAAGTTAAATTATTATTCATTTATGAATCATTTAGAAATATGATGATGACTCAAGTTATGCCTCTCTTTGGTTAAGGAAAATTTTCTTTCCCTCTATTCTGAGGGTATATTAAAACAGGCAAATACTCTCCAAATATCACTTGGGAATACCAGGCTAAGAGCAAAGTAGATTCAAATGCAAGATTAATTTTTGAGACAGTTTCAAATTTTCCTTAATTTTGTTGTCTCATATGAGCAGCTAAAGGCATTGTTAGATCAAATAACATGTTTCAAGATGGTAATCTTTGGTTGTGTAGATATAGGACTATTTTAAATGTTTGTTCTGAGCCATTTCCACCATGAAGTGGGAAAGATGAGAAAGTACGTCTAAATTGATCAGAACTTGGCTTCCAAAGTCCCACACACCTGATAACCATTCAGATTCTAGTGGAAAAGGACAATCTTTGGTACGTGTCAGCACCCAAGAGCCGAGGAAAGATGAAGATGCTAAAAGTGGCTAGATAGGTTAATGCTGATTAAGTTTAAGATTATCCTGTTTGATGAGGCTAGTCTGATAGTTTCATCTTGTTTCTGAGCCTGTTGCTATGCTTTATTTTTTTTGCATTTAAAGCCTGGTTCACCTTGTTAACCTTTGCTTGGGTTATTAGAAATATTTTCCCTCTGCAATTTACTTGATGACATTGCATGTTTGAAGTTTGATTCTTAAGCTTTTTTAAGACAATGCTTTACATCTTCTTTTTATACTTACATGGTATATTAATGCTCAGGATTCCAGTGGCACAATCATCTGCATTCTTGCAAGCTCAGGTGTCATCAGTAACAATGATGCTGGTGCCATTTTCCAAAGTGTTCGTCTAACTACTGAGTGCAAGGGGGAAATTATAATGTCTATAGTCCATGACTCCAAACTCGAGTCCAATTTAATTAGAACTACAATAATAGCATTTGGGTAAGGTTTCTTTCCCAGTTTTTTGCCCTAGTGCAATGGTGAACTCTTTGCATTCTAATTATGGATCTATTCATTTAATCTACTTTCTTTTTTAACTGAAGTTGTCACTGGTCCAGGAACTCAGTTTGATGCATCACTCTCATTCCCCTTTCTCCACTCCTCATGTTGCACATCCTGTTGTTAAGCGTTGTTCAAGCCAATTTTCTATGTCAAGCATAATTGCAAAGAGATGTTTTGAGATTCTATGCTTTGGAAGGACCAGATTTTAGAGTATTTTTCTCTTTCAGTTATTAAAGTCGTTACTAGTGTCCTTTTCCGAAGTAGTTATATGGTGTCAAGCATACAGAGGTTCTTCTAAATATAGTTTTTTCTTCTAGTCTTCTCGTATTTCCCCAACTAGGCAAATCAGCCTTTGGGTTTTTGGGAAAATCCTGCTTTCCACATAAGAAGCCAATCAACGAGTCATAATGTAGTCTTGAGTAGGATTGCTGTTCCAATGAAATAGCATTGGGGGCTATTCTTAAATCATCTGCTCACATCTTTGACATAAACATTCATATGATTGAATGCTTACACCTCTAAATGAACTTACTTGTACTGTGGTGAAGTTTTTGAACATTTTAAGGTTGAAGTGACTAATTGTGGATTTTATACTTCTTTGCATACCACTGATGTGCTTTTATGACCAAATCTTGCCAAATTTTTTAAAATATTATTTATTGTTTGCTGTGGGTATTTTCATTGTTCTTTCATTCCTTATTTGAAATAATGCCTCATTTCCTCTTCAAAATTTGTGATGGTCAAATACTGTTGTACAGTTGGAATGGACATGACATTGTTGTTTGATAACAAGAAGTCTTGGCACCCAATACTATTCATATCTCTTCCAATTAGAAGTCTTATGTCATCTATGTTATTGGTGTTTTCAAGCTGAGTATCTTCTTGTTACAGTTGTACTGGACATCAATCCACTAAGAAGATGGGATTTTTATCAAGACTGGCCCAACAGTTTCCTTTCATCTTCAATATCTTGAAGAACCAATCACCAGAACCTCAGAGAACCACTGAAGCCAATTTATCCGAGCCTCAGCATTTTTCTGGAGTGACATTTTCTCAAGAGCATGATTATATGCTAGATAAAGGTTCCCTTGATGATACTTCTGATGCTTCAAGTGCCTACAGAAGAGAAGTTGAACCATCGTTTAATAGTAGTGATAGAGATTCATCTTCTTTAAGGTATTTTCACTTCCTCATCCTTGCTTTGATCACATTTATATGCTTGCATTATGTCACTGACATTTATACAAATGTTCCAAGTTTTCTTTCCAGGAACTACAATCTCTCTCATGAACAAGTTGGTGTTGAATTTGCTGATTCTGACTCATTTTCTCTTGCAAACATGCCAGATGCTGAAGGTAGGTTATTTGCTTCTCATTGTCTTACATCACAACGTGCTTTTCATTATGTTTTGTAATCTCACTCTGTAAAAATCATTGAAATAACCAGTGTGGTTACAATAAGCATATATGAGCATCCAATCTTTACTAGAGTTGAAGTAATAGTGGTGTTGATGCACTTACACAGGAGCGCCTACTTTTAGGGAGGAGCTGCTTATTAGATACCGGCTGGGGGCAGATGATCAGAAGACACAAGAGTGGACCCAAGAGTTGGCTGGAGATACAGAAACCACTCTAACAGTTGATAGTGTCAGCGTCTTCAGACTTCCTGTTGGTGTTAAACATTTGGAACAGGCAGATGAATATCCGGCACACGCTAAGCATCTGAAAAGATGGACAAGGGAGGACAGCAGGAAAGCTCAGGTTGATACTGCTACAAGTGTGTCTCGGGATGCGATGGGTGACAGGGGCTTCGAAGCTACAATAAACTTCAATAATTTCTCAAAAACTAGAAAAGGAAATTCGACCAATGATTCCAATAAGCCAGGAGTTCTTTCCAATCGGGCAGCATCAATGCTGGTAAAATCCAATGACTTATAGCAGTTTAACATACTTTATAAGAAGCCATAGTCATAGAAAGTCTTATTTGTGTTTTTGTGCTCCTAAGATTAAAGTGGAGTTATTTTATCTTCAACTTGTATGACTGGGAAAAATGCTACTTGGTTAATTTGCATTTTCTTTCCTTGTTAGGAAAAACAAGATTGTTGGTTTTTGTTAGGAAAAACAAGAACTTGTACATACTGCATTACTGGCTTCCAGTTTTATGAGTGATTATTGGCAATACCTTTCTATGAAGAAGATCTACCCCACTGGTTTATGTTCTTTCCCCTTTGACTATAAGACTTCTTTTTAACCAAGTGCACTTCAAAGAATTACCCAGCCAAAATGTTAATCTACCTAGTTCAAGCATTATTAAGTACAAAACAAGTTTTTTTTTTTTCCATTTCTATTCATTCAAGTAAAATGTTCTCTACATTCGTGCATGTGGTTTCTGCCAATTGACTCGTACAGTAGGAAAATCTTTATTGTCTAGATGAAGCATGAAAGGAGCGTCACAAGGCATTAATTAGAAGTTTCTGTTGAAAGAAACGATAGTTTTTTGTTCTTGTTCTTGACTAACAACTGCTGCAGAATCAAATCAAATCTTAATATTTTTTTTTTATTGTTTAGTTTGTCTTCAGTTAAAAATGTGTTGTGTAGCTGGTGTACATGTGCTAGGCATGTGGCCCACTAAGAATATTTTGGTCATTTTTGCCACTTCAGGACAACCATGTCTTTGGGGCCCTATATGTAGACATCTTATGTACTGCAGCGAGCAGTTTTTGATATCGAATATTTCCTAAAGTTTTATCAGCTTTCTCGGGCTTCATACAAGCCTAGAAGCTTTTCTCCTTCAATCTGTGATTTCCCTTCATCAATTCCTTGTGTTTTAGGGCTGCTACCTAAATTTTTGAACTCTAGAAGAAACGAATTATCCCCAATTCCTGTGGATTCGACCCTGCTCACCGCTATATACAAAATCTGTACTTTTCTCGAGTACTTTCCTTTTCCTTTCTTTTCAAAGGTGCCCTGGCGGATTTTCAGATGATTGTCAACTTCATAGCTAATCAATTCAGAAATGCATCTAAAAAATGTCTTGGCATCAGTATAGGAGCATCACCTGCCAATTAGAAAATTCCTTGACAGAGATATTGCAAAAAACAGAAGTCAGGACTTTCGACTTTTGTAATGGAGTCAGGTGGGGTGCTTAGAAAAGTTGAGACTTGAAAGCAGATTTTCAAAAGTGGTTTAAATGATCTGAAATCGCATTATTATATCAACCCTCTTTTAGGGTTAAATTATAACTTGCCCCAATTTATTCTCAGTTGAGGTTCTTTTCTCTTTCATTTGCTTCTTTTTCTTTTTGGCCTTCTGCCATTCTTTGAAATTTTTCAAAATTTGCCCCAGTTTATGTTTAACCGAAGTTCTTTTTCTTCTTCTTTTTTTGTTTCTTTTGATTTTGTTGCTTTATCACCTTTCACCTCTTGAGACTTTTCTTTCCTTTGCAACTCAAATTTGCCCCAGTATGGGGTTTCCGATTCTCAGGGGTTGTCAAACGAAATATTTTATTCTGAAAGCTCAAAAGGGATAACTAGGGATAGAATGTTTGATTGGAAAAGAAGAGGGTCTGACTTTTATTCCGTTGATAGGGTGTTAATTGTTGGTTATTTTATTATTAATTTCCCCTTTGTCCTTGGCAAATATTGTGTTAATTATTAATATTTACTTATATTTGGTATTGGGACTTAATTTCAGGGAATGGAGCAGAAAACTACAAAAAAGGAGGGACTTTTTGTAGGAAATTGAGACTCCTAAAAGCTCAATAGACCTGGCCCACAAGGAAGGAAGAAACGGATTTTTCGTTTCTTTGGCTGATGAAGAATTGCTTGGTACTAAGAGTTCTACTAAGAATAGCATACGGAAAGGAGGAAGCATTGAGTAGGGCCTGACCCTTTTGGTACCCTTTGTTGACTTATGCGGCGGGGACCACGGAAAAAAGAAATGCATTAGTCATTGGACTTTGGAAGGAAAGAAACGTAGGAAGCTTTGAGAGTTGTTTTTGTTTAGTATTTGTGGGGACCACTGGATAGATAGCTTTAGTCATCTTCCCTTTGGCTATATAAAGACAATTGTAAGAAAGGCTACGGGGACAGCTTTTAGCATAGTTTTAGTTCTTCTTTTTCTTTCTTGGCTCCTTCGCATGGTTGTTCTCCATTAATGGAGGACTAACCTCTTAATTCTAGTCAAGGGACAACTGAAGATTTGGTTCTACAATTACTGTGAGATCGTATTTATTTTAATCGCTTTCTCATTTATTGGTATTTATATGATTCCTGTTTTTAATTGTTATAGTCCTTATGTATGATTGATTAGTGCGCAATAATTAATTATTCATATAGGCTATTTTGCTAAATAGGGGTAATTGAATCCGTAATTGTTCGTTATCTCTATCTCAGTAGCAACTGGCGTAATTGGGTTTATGTCAGGGGAGCATACGATCTAACTTAAACAAACCCTCGTAGCGTGTTTGTTAGTTAGGATTGGGCCTTTCTAATTATTAATGCAATCTAGAAATTAAATCCTACGGTCGTACCTAGGGTTGTTTTTGGGTTAGAGAAATAGCTAACGGTCGTACCTTAGCTATCGATAAATTAAGGAAGGGTTGGTTGTTTAGCGCGTGCGAGACAACTATAACCACTCTATTAATAAATGTTGGAATTATCTTTGAATCAATGATCAGTTGTATGAACCATTTCTGAAGTGTATCCTTGACTAGAGTTTCTCTAATTATTTCTTTTAATTAATTATTTTCTGCATTTAATTTATTTAGTTAGTATTTAATCCAAAACCCCCATACTTTGAACTCTAGAAGAAACGAATTATCCCAGTCCCTGTGGATTCGACCCTGCTCACCGCTATATACAAAATCTGTACTTTTCTCGAGTACTTTCCTTTTCTTTTCTTTTCAAAGGTGCCCTGGCGGATTTTCAGATGATTGTCAACTTCATAGCTAATCAATTCAGAAATGCATCTAAAAAATGTCTTGGCATCAGTATAGGAGCATCACCTGCCAATTAGAAAATTCCTTGACAGAGATATTGCAAAAAACAGAAGTCAGGACTTTCGACTTTTGTAATGGAGTCAGGTGGGGTGCTTAGAAAAGTTGAGACTTGAAAGCAGATTTTCAAAAGTGGTTTAAATGATCTGAAATCGCATTATTATATCAACCCTCTTTTAGGGTTAAATTATAACTTGCCCCAATTTATTCTCAGTTGAGGTTCTTTTCTCTTTCATTTGCTTCTTTTTCTTTTTGGCCTTCTGCCATTCTTTGAAATTTTTCAAAATTTACCCCAGTTTATGTTTAACCGAAGTTCTTTTTCTTCTTCTTTTTTTGTTTCTTTTGATTTTGTTGCTTTATCACCTTTCACCTCTTGAGACTTTTCTTTCCTTTGCAACTCAAATTTGCCCCAGTATGGGGTTTGCGATTCTCAGGGGTTGTCAAACGAAGTATTTTATTCTGAAAGCTCAAAAGGGATAACTAGGGATAGAATGTTTGATTGGAAAAGAAGAGGGTCTGACTTTTATTCCGTTCCTTACATTATTTTTGAAAGAAAATTTTCATTAATGCGAAATTTCTTGCATGTATCTGAATCAATCAACTGAGGATAACTCCCGTTCATCCTATCTGTGAAGCATAGGTGATCTGCCGGACCCTCTTTCTTCTTCTTTTCTCTTTTCAAAATTGAAATCCAGGTAGAATCGAATTTCTCCAATTTGTGATTCCCTCTTTTCTTTTAATTTTAGCATTTTTTCTTTTTCTCCTTTTAGAGAATTCTCCAATCTCCTTCCCCAATGTGGGGCGCGATCATAAATGCTTTGAAAAGAACCACCCATTTTAGTTCAAATGATGATGCAAAGGATAAAACAGTGTTTAGGTTGTAGAAACGATGGCCAAAGTATCATTCTTACAGCTCATAACAACCAAAGTAACGAAATGATCATTGAGAATCCACTCCCTTTTTGATATCTAAGAATTTTTCAATGTAGGGTAGTGATCATTAAGACTCTTATTTGAGACGAAATTATTTTTTTAAAGACTCAAATGGGAAAGTAAATGATAAAATCTGTATGGATAGAGAATCAAACGCTTGAAGTATCATTCCAAATTTTCAAAACAAATAAGAATAATGCACAATTTTGCTTTCACTAAGATGTGGGTTGAATATAATTAGACATAGTGGACATTTTCCAAGCAAAGATTGACCCAATTTACAATTTATCAATCAATGTGACTGACTTTATTTTGGGGTTAAGTGAAGGAGAAAAGGTATCTCGTGGGGCCTTTTGAGTGACCGTTCACCCTCTCCCTTTTTTTTTTACTCTGAGCACTCTTATTGTATAACTCGGATCACCAATTGAGTGTACGTAAGGATTTTAGAAAGCATACACTTGTGAATTTTCAGGCTGGAGGTTGAGAAAATCTCAATTTAGTTTTATTTCTTAAAATTCATCATGAAATCTCCAATGAGCAAAAGAATGAAATGTACATGAATACATACAAAACAATAATTGTCCAAAAACTTTATTGCTGAAAAAAGTTTAAAACAAAATTTCTCGTTCAATTATAATACAAATGAAAATAGAAAAACTTCTAAAGAGCTCCACATATACACTTTTTGTCTCTTTTCTTTTGGGACAAAGATGTATTAACAAGTCAAATATACAGAATTTTTCTTTGAAAAACAATTATGAAATCTCTCCGAGGCCTTAGCCTAGCACTTCTAGATAGATTCTTCATATTTTCATTGCAACACCTGCCCAAGAATCAAGTAATGCTTGTAATTTTCAAATTTTATCAGATATAGATAAAGTATTTCACCTTATTAAAGCATTTTTATGAATGCAGGGGAGGGGAAAACAAAAGGAAAAAAACACCCTGAGTTAGTAAGCAAGACTATAAAATCGGTATACATGTCCTATGGGGGAACCCTTTATGCCAAGGGTAGGCCTAGCAT